CACATTACTTATTCAGGAAATGGGATGGTAGCATAATTTTGAACCCCCTAGTTATATGCAAAAGGACTCACATGGTTCGGTTCAGTTCAGTTTAGTTTTTACAACCATTAACCATGCACTTCCGTGCGCCGGTTTTGGTTGCTGTCTTTTGGTGCTCCATTTGGCTTGGTGTAGGAAATCAATCGGAGAACGTTTAGCAACAATTAATTATTTGCCCATCTTAGAATAGTCGAGGACTCAGAAATAACTTCAAGTGGACTGCTGCTTCGCCAAATCAACTTATTCCCTCGTTCCCATTTATTTGGTGCCTTGCAATAATGCAGTTTATTCTCTCCTGTAGACCAGCAGAAGGAGTACCATGTCATGAAACTGCCATTTTTAGATGAACTTAAGCAGCCTTGCAACGAGAATGGTCTAGCTTTAATTTTCTTTTGACGTCGACTGTGGATGAAAGTGACTCTAGGACGTCATGATAAAAGTGGGCACACCTAAGAAATACACACAAAGTTGAAGTAATCCAGCGAAATATACATATATCATATATATTTCACAGTCATCTAATTTCAGAACGTACGCTAAACAAAGCTCGGTAAAATGATCTTTATAAAAAGGAGAAAGTTCCATGATTATTCCATAGGAAGAATACTGCCAGGTTACCCAGGCAAAGGCAGGTAAACTTTCTTGAGGAACCCACAAGCAGAGCCTTCGGCTAGCCAACACCTGACCCGCTAGACAGCAGGATGGTGTGATAACCGCAATCTACTGGGGCCGGTGTCCAGTGAATTGGATTATACGCCCTTTGGGTGGATTCAAACGTCCAAGTTGCTCGATACACCTCAATGCCCAATCAAGGTGGTGACCATCGCTACAACAGGGAATGTGTGTTTCATTCGTACGCCTTTTGTTTGTTTCGAAGTTACAGGCTTTAGCTAACTCCCCTAGGTGAACTGCCATTCTTTCACCAACCCCGTTATAGCCTGAGGCTTTAGGAGGTGCATCCAGAGAAAGCCTGACAACCTATCGACGTTTGGCTGAGTGCGTCATAATGCTATTATAATGTCTACTGGTTTCTAGGTTTAAAATCAAAATCAGTCCTATATCCTTAAGAATCATGCAGACAAGAGAAAAGGTTTGTCGTGCGTGTGGTACTGCACTTCTTAAACGGACTGCACCACCAGCGTGCTCACGCATTAAGTAGCGTTGATTACAGAAATCACAGCTAAAACCCCGCTTTAGAGCATTCACATATTCCTGAAGAAAGCGCAGTTAACTATTGAAAAATTCCACACGTTGTAGTTTAAGATCGTATGCAGGTATTAAGCACCGTGATTAGTATACGTCGGAGGAAATATCGGTTTGGAAAAGAAAGAATTTGAAGGTGTAGAACTTCATCAAAACTTATGCTGAAGTTGACAATCACGATATCCACAGGGGACCCCACCGCTTTTTTCTTCGATCAATAAACTGTTACTAGTGTCCAACTAGAAAACAAATAAAATATGCTCTAAGGACATCTGTGTCACTCACACAGGAGAAACCGTCTTAAGGTATGCTTTTGGATTTGATTTATGGCTAGGCGCTTCACGACAAAACATGAAGATTACAAGCAGGACTTTTCTTTCTTACTACTGTTGTTTTGCTGAAAAAAACACATTTCACGCACTCCTGAGGTAGTTTACTGAGTGCTACTGGTATAACGAGGATAAATGTGACGGTCAATGAAAATACAGTTATTTCTTTTGTCTGAGATGGTCAGATATCATACGGTTTTAGAGACTGGTAAGTAGTTATTGATTGTAGCAACCCGACAGTATCTTAGCCGTAATCACATCATGTTTTCATTTTGTTTTTATGTTGATGAGTATATCGTGTTTTCTTTGACAAAGTTTCAATCTGAGCAAGCGTAACGTTCTCCTAAAATTACCCAAATAAATCATTAACCAGATCATGGAACATAACGACAAGCAAACAGATGAAGTAGAAAAACATGTGGAATTTCAATATGAAATGCGAAGGAAGAACGATAACTAGGCAATAGTATACGGAAAATTTTAACACACTCCAGTTGACGATTCACCGCGTTCTGTGGGCGTCAGGTTAACTTTTAAATGCCTTCCTGAACAAGGGTATTTGAAAAGTAGTATAGATGGAGTTGCACTAATTAGATACGCTGTTGAAAATAATTTACTTAATGTTATTCTTTCTTCAAGCATACAAAATCTATTGTTCATTCATATTTGCTCTGTATAGCCCATAAACTTTGCAAAAATATATACAGTTTGCTTCATTTTGTTTCAATTTTTTTAGTTTTGTGGTATTGTTAATTAGTGGGGGATTAAGTAAGTAGAAATTAATTTAGTGCACTTAGCCCCTCTCGGCTTGTTTTGTACATGAGCTTTGTTGAACTTACTTTAACCTTATGCCGTGGACTCTATAAATGAACCACGTAAAGTCACTGTAAAATCTTCTCCTAACGTGTTGAACGGAAAACTTTTGGCATGGGGTGTCACTTATTCACCATGGATTATATCGTTCTTTTGAAATAATATTGCACACTGAACGACGTAAAGTCTGAATAATATAAAAAATGATTTGAACACTACTTAATTTGATAATTCATGGAGGCCGAATACACTGCTAAAATCAGAGGAAGGATGTCTGATGCGGACTCCCCTCAAAATTGCCGTATTCCAGTGTTAAACTTCCAGCGTGCTGTGTTAAGACCAAAGCATTTAATGAATAATAAGATATTTTATTCTCGTGTAATAAATAAAATTCCCTCAATGTATGTGATTCAAGCAGTTCAGGGAAGGTGTGGTTAAGCGATTTAAATTTCTCACACCGACGTGCTTTGGTTCTTAGGTTCAAACGTTAGAGCTTTGCCAGGGCCACCAAACTTTGGTGATAAACAGCTTTGCTGTCTTCTGGCTCAGTATCAAACCTTACTCCATTTGTGAAGTTCTTAAAACTTTCTTTTGTTTTAGCTTGGGCTACCTAGCAGTATTTCACCCTCAAGAAAAATGTGGACTGATATTTTTGTTATAAATACTGCTGTACTGTGATTCGTTTGGCCCATTAATGGTACTCGAAAAGGTGCGAAATATATGCATCCTACAAATAATGAAATTATCTGAGATCAGCTTAAAGTATAAATTTCTTTCTGTGGAAATAGCAAACGCGGTCCATCTCCTACTACGTTACGCCCCTGACAAGTCTCACTTTCCAATATGTTCCCGCTTTTCAGCAAGCTCAAACTACTGGTATTCTTTTTATTGTGACTGGTTCATTGGAAAGGAAAAGCCGGCTCCAGACATGAGGGCGCACCTCTAGCCTTTGCACAACCAGGTGCGAACTGCAAGGTAGCAGGAAGTAAACCCTTGCCTCGGAAGTGGCGTCAATGAAGTTAGTTTTAAAAGGCCAGTCACATCGACTTTTGTCACGAAACCGTCATTGAGCGGCTTTCAAACAGGAGCCAGGTGACCAGCCTGAAACCCACCACACCCTGGTAGTGTAACCGCTGTTTTTTCGCGACTGCTTATTTGCTGCGGTATGCCACCACTTACTCACAGTTAACCTTTTTCGGTGAACTTATCCCCCTATCCACAACCTGGGACGCACTTGGTAGCATTCAACTCTGCCTAACCCGAGTGTATCCAGGTTTACGGTAAAGATATACGTACTAACGTAGGTTGTGATTATGAAGGTCGCCCCCTCCGATTTCGCAGACCTTGATACTTACTTACTTGGCCGTTGACGGATGTACAGTTTCAGGTTTTTACAGCCATCAAACATGCACCTTAGTGCGCCGGTTTTGTCAAACAGCATGCAGTGTCGCATCCGGCCAATGACATTTCACCTAGTGTATGGAAGACACTCAGTAGTTAAAGCCGGTGTCATTTGATGTGACAATATGCAAGCACCTATCTATCACGGAAAAATAGAATGTGATGGAAATCCTGACTCAGCTAGGTGCAAGTGAGGCCTCTGTAGCAAAGTTATATGGCATTTCAAGGAAACTTTGCGATGTCTCTGTGGTATAGATGACGAAAGTTTACCATGCAATAATAAACCTTAGAAATACATGGATGACTTCTGCGTTCCAAATTTGATTGTACTAGTCTGTTTTAAAATTCACAGATATCATCCCTTGTTATAACAAAGCCGCAACATTCTCGAATGCTAAACTGGCATGGCTGCCTCCAAACTGTTCTTCAGTTATAAAACCAATATACCAGGGCGTCATGCGGTCTTTCAAATCTAACCATAACAAGTATTTCACCCGTTCTTGATTAAACGTTTTTTTCTCAATGAATTAAGCACTGGATCACGTGTGTACTACTTAGTCTCATCGGTCAACTATTGTCCATTTTTGTAACTTTATTATAGCTGAAACTGTAGTAGATCATGGTGGAATCCATGTACTCAATTCTGTGGTCATACTTACATGGGAATGGGATAGCATTTGGAATTAAAATTCGACAATTGGGTATGAAAAATTTCCCTAACGAAAAGTAAGTAGCTTTTGGATAAATAGACATTTGAAACCGAAAAAAAGGTTGAATGCAAAGTGCACTATTATAATGTTATAATCTATCATAAAAGATTTAAATTTCCGCGGTACACAAAGACTAAGTGGCACTGTATATTTGAATTCTGCATCAAATAAATAGCAGGTAGCAGTGAATAATGGGAGCAAGCAATAGAAGTAACATATTTTTCATCGATCCTGTATTTCTGTCAAATGTCCCAATCGATTTTTCATACTACTTGGAAGCATATACTACTGCAGTTTCTGGAGTTTACTCCCTTTTCCAACTACCCGATGGGCACGACAGCAGAAAATTGACTGCATACTTATACACTTTTATAAATATTTATCTACTTACATCTTTTGGAGTTTTCGTATCGATATGGAATACAAACAAACCTCAGATAGCTTTGTCATCTCAATGCCGTCTTTTTCAGCACATTGATCTAATAAGAACCCGTTCAAAAAAAATATGGCTGCGCTAGCATTTAGAGGCCCGCTGTTTTTTCGTCAAATGTTCGAAAGCACTTCCTCGACCTATACATACCTTTTGGCAGATCTTCGTACCAAAGAAGCTTTATTGATAGACCCCGTTCTCGAAACCGTTGAACGCGACGCCAAACTTGTAAGTCTGACAGAGAAGTTGTTAAAAAATTTGTAAGCAAAGATGATGATTGAGAATGTTTTATTGAACGTATACAAGTTATATGTATGGTGTATGTATATGGTGGTAATCTGCTTTTTGTATGTTTTACAATTCTGCACTTAGTTTATATGGTATAATTATCATCAGTAAATTATTCACCATCCCTTTGATCACCTGAAGTAAGTAGTTATTGGCTTTGTCTGACTTTGATTTCATGTGTGTGATGTTATTTATCACAGCACTGCGATTGTTTTGATCAAGACACGAGCTTTTGTCCCTTGCTTGAAGAAGGCTCCACATACTGCGTTTCAACCATTTTTGCTTTTCTGTTGTGTCTTACTTTCTATTTTGGGATGAACAGTAGACGGGATTAACCGTTGGGACTTGGAGTGGCCAACCAAATGAGGCCTAAATGAATAGTGTAATATTGGGTCTGATGACGTCGAAGCCGCATATAATCAAAGTTGATTCGTGGTGACGGCGTTCAATTCATCGGAAATTTCTGTCCTAGGAATATAAACGGAGCAGTTGGATTATACCCATCAGAGTCAACTTGTTTTACAAATATCTATTGTAATCATTGTATTTTATCTGCATTACGTTTCAGATTGAACAACTCAAGCTCAAACTGGGACCAATCATGAATACACATGTTCATGCCGATCATGTAACTGGAAGTGGTATGCTGAAGCGTCGCTTCCCAGGGAGTTTTAGTGTCCTGGGCAAGTACGACGAAGCAATGGCGGACCTGATAGTAAAAAACGGGGATAAAATCCCCCTCGGAAAATTCGAACTTGAGTGTCGAAGCACTCCAGGTATGCTAATAGTTTAATTTCGTTAAACCCTATTAAGAAGCACGAGTTAAGATGCCACCTATCTGTGCATGTTGATCATTGAGCAATAGCATATTAACTTGAAATTTTAATGGAGGCTAGGTACATATGCCCTAATTACTGCTTCTACACAATTCCTCATTAAGTATGGCGCTTGATTTTGTTAAAGACACTGATGTGCGGCTTACAATAGTAGTGTCTAAAATGCTGTCTTTTGAACTCCAATCTCAAACCAATAAAAGCAACATCCAGAAGATTACGGTTGCTACCCAAAATTTTATACAAATCATTCATGTCATCTGTTTCCTAATATGTATACCCTTTGCATAACGCTATAGCCCTCAACAGAAATCAGATTCATTTTTTCCTCCCATACTGGTTTTCAGTTTCTATGAAATGTGATGTAATTTGTCAATAGATAAAACACCGTAAATAAGATTATTTTGTATTTTTGTTCCTCCAAACTAAAATAAAATTCGTTTCCTTTAGATACCATATATATATATATATATATATATATATATATATAAACATTGGCTTTTGG